CCAGACCCACCACCACCACCACTACCACCAGACCCACTACCACCACCACCACCACCACCACCAGACCCACCACCACCAGACCAACTACCACCAGACCCRCTACCACCACCACTACCACCACCACCACCACCACTAACACCAGACCAACTACCACCACCACTACCACCACTAACACCAGACCCACTACCACCACCAGACCAACTACCACCACCACTAACACCAGACCCACCACCACCACTTAACCCACCACCACCAGACCCATCACCAACTCTACCACCAGATCCCTCTAACACACCACCTCCAAACACACCATCATCATGCACAATGCATTAGCTTTATATCCATAAATATTGAACATATTATTATGTGTTTTGAAGTATTAAGGTTCAGATATTGACATATCAAATTACCACCGGCCAAAGTAAAGTCTAACATTACTTGTTTAATTTGAACATATATATCGATGACATCACAAATATGATCTTATATTGATATGACAGCACTTTTCAGATCCGTGTGCTGACACTGATGCTTCCTGGCCTCAGTGCACCAGAGGCCCAGCGTCTGTGATGTTAACCTCAAATCGGAGTGGTTCATGTGTGTGCGTTGACCGTGAAGCAGTCATGTGTCGTCCATGTGGCAAATGTTGGTCAGAGTGGGGGTGTTGACGTCGTGCCTGGTGTTTGCCCGCTGATGTGGTGCAGGGTGTGTGGCCGTGCCAGGTTGGCGTGGGGACGGATTTTGCTGTCAGCTGGCGGCCAAGATGGAGGGGGGGGCTGGAGTGGGAGCCAGTGAGTGAGAGAGAGAGAGAGGGTTGTCTGTGTTGATGCTCGAGGGATTGAAGAGAAATCTCAGTTGGCTTTGAAAAGAGCAGTCTGTATCTTTTACATCCTCAGGTGTCAGTGGGCTCTATATTAGAAACCTCAAGGACAGGGCCACTTGTTCCATGAATCAATTTCAGATCGTTAATAGATGTGGATTTGATAAAGAAATCATTTAAGTCTGTATAAAGGGACATTGGTTGGTTTCATCATGTTCAATGAGAGAATTAGCTCTTTTTTCAGTTTGATACTGTTGCAGATCAAGAATCATTGGGTTTGGAATTTTCTGGTCAAAAAAAGGAAACACTTCACAAATTGATCTTTTTAAAAACACACAAAAATTTTTTTTTTTACATTGGTATTAGTTTATTTTTAAGGTGTCTAAGTGTCATTTATTTTAAGGGCTACTCCAGCAATTCACCAGGGCACTTCTATGAATTCAGGGGATTCACAAAAAGCTGATTTAAAAAGAACATGGGATATTATAAATGTAGGTCCTCAGCAACAAGCCCAAAATAAACAGATCCTAAACTTACTATTATATGCAACTATTAGTGTCTTGAGCTCTGACTGCACCCACATCTCCAAGCTGAGACTTCAGCAGGGTTACTTCCTCTGACTCTCTCTGACACTCATTTGTAAAAATCTGTTGAGTATCCTGAGTTGTGGGTCCTCCATTTAATTTTGATCATATATCTAAAACATAAAAATTCAAAGACGTCCCTTTGGCCTTGTGGGCTGAACTGATCATAAAAATGATTTTCAGTAATAAATAAACTTGAATGGGAATGGACTGTACAGTGGCAGCAGTGGATGAATGTTTGGATTTTAACGGTGAGTTTATTTTAAATGAGCAAAGATTCATTCAGCCCAGAGACACAAATTTACAGGTTTTACAATTTTTAAATTGAACTTCGTATAATTTTTTCCACAGCCACAAAATCAGCAACATGTTGTTTTCTAATGCTGCAAAAACTATTCACCTCTTTCAATTTCCAAATATGTGATTAATAAACTACAATTATCCATCAATAGGATTATGATCTCGCGTCACACATATTCAAATGCAGGCAAATGACCCTCAAGGTCAAAGTTTGTCAATGTTGAACTCCGCAGGAAGTGATTGTTTTATTCAGCCCCTTGCTTGCACAGATTGGAGGTGAACAGGAGGTTCGCTACAGATATATATTCAAGTATTTGTGACGGTCCCCTAATAATGATTTCTACACATTATTATATGAGAGCTAGCAGTAAAATTGCTGCTCCTAATTGGCCCCTTGCAGCGTGATCATTACTGAGCAGTTACACAAAGGTGCTGTTATGTTGTTTCCATTCATTTGTAGTGTAGGAAGCTAAAGACGAGACCAAAGATGTGGGTTTAGTTTTTGCTTGTCGGTCAGAAGTTTGAGCATTTTGGTCACAAAGCTTCGCAGCCCCCCACCCTCAGACTTGTGGGTAATTTTCAGTGAATCATCTGCACTCCCCAGCAGTTTTTCATTTCCTGGTTTACAAGTGCAGTAATGACATCAAACCACATTACTGCAGCTCGGCGTCATAAACAAACCGGTGGCTGACGCGCTGCTGCGTATTTCAGTTGGTGCTGACTTGGAAGCAGCAGGTATTTATACATGACAGCACACAGCAGTTATTTAACCAGGACCGCTGACTCAGAGCACATCCTTATTTACAGTCGTGGGCTGGTCCGGTCGTCAGGGCGGCTCTCGCAGGGTTTAACACGCAGAGCCTGGAGGCCTGCCAGTGCTGCCTGTGATGTTCTTTAAATCTCATTAACACGACATGAATCTTCAATCATCCTTGTAGGGAAATTTCATCAGTTCAAGTCTCACACCCAAAAGATAAAGAGAGAAAAACCAAGAATGTTCCTGTCGCCAGTTTAATTCTCTTGCTTCTGTTAATTTACTGTTTGTCCCAGGAGGTGATCACTGATATGTATCGTGGCTCTTTAATTTGATTCTTTCTTTATTATATGGACGGATGCTTTTTTTTACGGTGCATTATTAGCTTGCTTTTAGTGAGGTCTGACTATATATGTGTACTGAGGATGTGAACTCCTCTGTGAGCTTGTTTGCACTGATGTCATCCTTGTTTTCTTTCTTGTTTTTACTTGTGGTCTTGACATGCTCTATGTCCGGACACAAATGAAGTTGCTTTGAATTTGAACAGTGTTCACGGTAAGATGTTATTTTGTAAAAAAAAAAAATCAGTAAGGAGGCTTGGTACTTTACAGAAGTGTATTCCATAGTTATCAATATCTGTGAAATATTTGAGTCTGGATCAAAGTGGTGGACTGACATCGCCATCCCTGAAAGCTTGGACACGTGCTAATCACAGGGTGAGGCTGAAGTCAGATCTGAGAGAGAGACCCTCGCCTGGACACAGAGGCTAATCTGCTGTGAAACAGGGGCCGTGTCGACTCCTGCGTCCTCTCTTTCCTGTGGTTTATTGCTTCCCTGTTGCAGCAGGATGGACGAGAACCTCCTGTGACTGTTCATTCTCGCTGATTAAAGCAGCGCTGCAGCTCTATGTTCCCATTGAGAGCACCTGTAATTGCTAGTGGCTCTGGATAAGAGGAAGTGTGAGAGAAAAATATGTAAATTACTTATTGGCAGTGACTGGAGATCCCCCAGATAACACACACACACACACAATCAGGCAAAACTGTGAACGCCTGAAGCGTGTAGCATGTGTGTGTGTGGGTGTGGGTGTGTGGAGCTGAGGTGTGTATGAATGCAAATGGAGTGCAGAGTAGTGGTAGGTGTTGCAAAGTGTGAATAGCCTGCAGTGTGTTTGCGTGTCTGTTTGTATGTGGGTGCGATTGGCTGAGGTCAGTGTTACACTACTGCACTAGCTCATGTGTGTTTTCTCGTGTCCACAGAGCTCCATGGACTCTCCCAACCTGGAGTTTGAGTACGGAGACACGGACACAGTCACCGCTGAGCTCTCAGGTCAGACTCCTCCGCAACTCACAGTGAAATGTTTGAAACCAAGTTTTATTTTTGTATGAATGAATATTTGTGCAAACACACTTTTTATCCATTTTATTGTTTTCATGTCATGAGTCTGATGTGCTTCGATGTGCTACACCAGATCTCACCCACACAATTCTTGTAATAATACCTCTGGTTTCTACTCAACTGTGTGCTAATGATTGGAAAAATAATCCTGCATCTGCACTCATTAAATGAACAACACTGTTATTATATATTTAAGTATTATTCATAAAAAGGACAAATAGAAAGGCACTCAGTAGAGGCATACCTCTGCCAAAGCCCTTAAATTCAATCAAGCTGCCAAGATTAACGAAACACTAGTTCAGTGCCTGTTCTAAACCTGTTTGGGATAGGCTGTTGGTTTGGCCTGTGGTGATGCTGGGCGCAGTTTTCTTTCTGAAACTGTAAAAGTGACCTGCAGTAATTGAGCTGTTGCAAAGTAAAGACCCACTGCTGGAGTCAGTCCACAGATGCATGAAGCTGCACCACTGCTGCTGCACAAGGAGATGCTCACCTGTTTATTCAAAGTTCAGTAAAGCTTGACTCCGTATGCAGAACCCCCGACCCGGAGAATCAGTTATTAATATTGAACGTGTCTCACCAAATTCAACACTGGAGTTCCTTGGGCCCTTAACAATACAAAAGCCAAGTGTGAAGCTTATAAGATGAACGGTTCTGGAGGTGTGTGAGCCACATACAGAGAGACAGAGATTTCTGGAATTATTAGATTCAATAGATTCTCTGCGACATAGGTGAAATATCCAATGGCGATGAAAATGAAAGACCTGGATTTATCCTATCGTCCAGATCTACGCCAAAATTAAATTGTCTCTCTCTTGGCCTATTCTTCTATCAAGTTTTGTTGAAGTCCGTTCAGTCGTTTTTGTTTATAACAAACCAATGGACGGGTGAAAACATGGTGGAGGTGATAACCTGACACATTGTAAATAGCTTAGAACCAAATGTTCTGGTCCTGACATGTTTTTCAGACACAGTCCTCATTGTACGACTGATGTTATGAGTAATAATAAACACACATTATACATTCAGGCTCCAGTATCTGTGTATCTGGTAACACCTCATGTGCAACCTGGTTTAAAAATGACAGAGTAACCAAATTCAACAAAGCTGATTGACATGTCTTATCGTACTCGAGTACAAGTAGTTTCTTCACATGTATTATTCAGATTCCTCTCCGTGTTTTTTTGTTGTTGTTGTTGCCAGCACATGTGTATGAGACAGCATTGATTTAAAGTCAAAGTGATTGTTTTCCTGGAGGGTGATTTGCCAAGAGTGTCGGTGAAGCAGACAGACAGTGGCAGCTTCTCATGGTGGAGGAATGACGACGGATTTCAGAACAGGACGAGATGCACAACAAAGTGAACAGTTGTTAGACAGAGCGTGAAACAGATCAGAGTCACACTGAGGAGACAGGAGCTCAGAGCGTGTCCTGTTTGTTTTTGTAGGTGTGTTTACCTGCAGGAGCTTTTATGTGTCAGATTTACTTTCTGTTAAGCTCTTTGCTCTACTCTTACAATTCAAAATTTTAATTGTTGTCTTCTATTCTGCTCTTAAATATCCTTCACTTAAACACCAATATCGAGGAAGGTAGAAAATTAAGATATTGTTAAAAAAGAAAAATGTGCATTATAATACAATATATAAAAAAAGAAACCCCAAACAAAAATGTGTAAAAATACACAATATAGTCATATCTATGAGTGTGTGTAATTTGTTGCAGCTTGATTGAATTTAATTTCACTCTTTGGCCTTGACGGATGTGGAGGTTGGCTATAATTCTATATTATTTTGTTCACAGAGCTCTACAGTTACACAGAGGAGCCGGAGTTCGCTCTCAACAGAGACTACTTTGAGGAGGACTTCAGGAGCCATGGTACTGTGTGTGTCTGTCCGTGTGTGTGTGTGTGTGTGTGTGTCCATGTGTGTGTGTGTGTGTAGCCTTATTAATAGGTTAAGTTCACCCGGATCAGAAAGCTATCCTGGGTATGTTGAGCTCACTTCGCAGGCCCCAGGCGTGACTGTTATTGCCACTGGAAAAAAAATGTAAACACAAAACAGGGTCACAAACACACACAGACAAGTCTACAGTCAGCAGACCAGCACTGCTGCTGCTGCTGTTACTTGTTTATCACAGAAACCTTGACAGCTCCTCCGACTGTGTGCTTTGTGTTGACTGACACAAGACTGAGTCCCTTTGTGTAGCTCTGAATGCCCCGACTGGCTCCAGTTTACTGCCAGATAACAGCGTCCCTATAAGAAATATGAAAGTTTGAAGGTTTACAAAATGATCCCAGGCCGCACTGTCCTGCTTTCTCAACATGGCACGCACAATACACTGAACCGAATTTAGAGAAATGACAACATTTCAGACTCACCAACTATAATTGTTCTATAGTAAAACCATTTGTTTTGTTTCTTTCCTTTTGTGCATTTCTCAGCTTCACACCAAAATCTGTGAAAGCTCAGTTTTCTCACGTCAGATGTCCAACGTGAGCCGGAGCGGCTCTTCACGTGTGTCTGTGGATTTTATTTTTAAGCCGAGCGGTGTGAGGCGAGGGTGACCAGGAACATCAAAGCTCTGCTCTTTTAATCTGTTCAAAGACTGAATATCCCCACAGATACAGATGGGACGGGCCCAATCCCAACTGTGTGATTAATGTGTCTTTACCAAGAACAAAGAGTTTTTTTCAATGTGAACTTTGACATTTTTGCCAGACTGACAAAGAGACCAAGCTTTAATACAGTGTTACTTTTCTTGATGTGCAAAATACTATTGAATATTATGTATATAAAGGTGGACGACCAGTTCCACTTCCTTCACTATCCAGAAATCAAGCCAAGATATCCAGGATACCGACGACTAATCACGAGTCAGTCGCAGCTTTCAATCAAACCTGTTTTTACTTCGTCGTACAATTGTGATTGGAAATTTCCTAAAATAACAGAAACCATCTCTGAGAAAAATGTGTTCGACGTGTTTTACTGCAGAGTTTTTATTCAGCCTGAGTCCCATCCTCTAACAGTTCCCTTCCGCTCTAAGGGGTGTTTCAGTCATTGTTTGGGTTTGTATACAGTTTATGGTTTATTCTCAGTTTCCCCCATTTGGTGCTAATCATTCCAGTAACATCCAGCTTTGGGAATGAAGGACCAATAATTTTGAAAACATTGTGTCTGCAAAAACACAAAGACCATTATTGTGAGAATAAACAAGACACCACAATGGTCTCAAGGCTCTGTGATCATAGACATAACAGCATCTTTCCCTTTGGACCAGATGATCTGTGTCCTCCTCTAACTCACAAGTCCTCTCCGAGCCGAGTGCAGATGAATAGCAGGATTAGATGAGAGCTCTGGCTGCTGTTTTACAGAGATAGAGCACGGAGCTGCCTCTTTGCATTACAGGCTTTTCATTAGTCTGTCTGTTTGTGTGAGCGCTGCATGTTAGCTGTCAAAGGCTGATTGACTTGTGCTCTTTGTGTGAGTGTGTGTGACTCACGTCCACTGACAGTTTACTCATCAATGTTTTTCACATCGAGCTATAAATTCACAGTCACTCGCATGAATCACGGTGATTATCACTAACATGTTTAATTCTAAGATGTGAGTAGACAGTGTAAGTCAGAGTCTCCTAAGCAGAAGATCTCTGCTCCTCTGATCATGATGATCATCATGACTCTTAAGCCGATTACTGTCGACTTAATCAAATTCTCTACCCAGAGAAGGCCTGCATTTCATTTTAGTTTTTATTTAAGATCTGCTTTACATAAGACTAAGTTTATGCTAGTGCTAATAATCCTTTTCATGCCTCCACGCCCGGCGGCAGCCAGTGGCCTGAGTCATTATGTTTTCGGGTTGTGCGTCCATCGCATTCTTGAGAAGAACGAAATATCTCAAGAATGCCTTGAGGGAATTACCTCAAATTTGGTACAAATACTTATTTTGAATCAATAATGAACTGATTATATTATTTTGGTCAAAGGTGAAAATGTCAAGCTCCCATGACCTTGTGTTGTTTTGAACACAATTTATCAGCAATGTCCTCAATTTCATTACATCTGGTACAATTCACTTGGAATCACTGATTAACTTTCATTGGTCAAAGGTCAAAGTCAAAGTGGCCTTATATCTCAAGACTACTCAAGGGAATTTCTTTATATATATAATATATAATCCTTGACCTATCCTTGAACTCTGTGTCCTCCAGGCAGGAGGTGGATCGAGCTGGCGGTGGAGGAGCAGAGGACGTACGTGATGAGGCTGCTGGACGCACTGGAGGTGACGGACAGAGACAAGAGGCTGAAGGTGGCCCGAGCCATCCTCTACCTGGCTCAGGGTACGTAGAACCAACACAGTTCAGCCAGCAACAATCTTCTTTCACAGCAAATCCACTGTGTCTTTATTATAAGGGAAAAATACAGCTGTCTCTAGTGTAATGAAATTAGTGGTTCCATTCTATTTTAGAGTCCTATTAGTCATGACATTGGGCTAGCTAGTAGCAGAACTAAATGGAATTCAGTCATTATTTATTTTATTATCTTTTCCTGTGCTTTTTCCACTTTGGAATGCCAAAATATCTTTCATGAAAATGCTCCATGTATCATGTTACCATAGCAGTTAGTTTACAAGTTTTAATTTAACTGAAATTTGCTTAAAAAGTCAGTCAGCTTGTCACACAGTGACACTAATGTCAAATAAAAATTTAAAAAATACTATGTTACTGTACTAAACTCTATATAAAACAATAAATACATAGACACGAGACAATTACAGTTGCAATATATTGCAACACTATAGTAACAACGAGGTCAAATTCAAGAAGAAGTGCTGAAACTCTATTCATCTCGTAGCTGAAAATCTTTGTATGAGGATTTTTCCTGAAATCTTCTTCCAGTCTTTCTAAAAGTCATTGTTACCCCCATGCTTTGTGTCCTATTTCCCTCACACCTTTACCCAGGAGTGTTTGATGAGTGCGACACAGAGGTGGACGTGCTCCACTGGTCCAGACACAATGTCTTTCTGCTCTACGACATGGGCATCTTCACGGCGCTGCTGGAGCTGCTCAGCATGGAGATAGAGTGAGTGGGATGCACTAAACATGCTGGGAATACATGAGTCATTAAAAACTTTTATTTGCTTCTACAATAGAAAGAAACTGCCGGATCATCAGTTACTAAGAAAAATCAATAGCATCTTTCTTAGTGAGGCGCAAAACATCTCTTTTAAAAAAATATTCCCCCTTTGGGCAAGGGCCTGCAGCAAAGGAAGGGAGAGGGCTGTGGTATCTGGTAAAAATGTGATTATGACTGGAGGTCTTTCATTGAGTGGGCGTCAGGTTTCACACCACCAAAAAGTCACAGATTCAATCCCTGTAAGATTCAACATGTTTTTTTCTCGTTAGAAGATCAAAGTTTTCCCAGAATCCTCCCATTTTTGAAGCTCGGGTTCCCTCGCACACGCTTTGTCCCCCCTCCCAAACCCCCCATTTCCTTTTTTATAGCTCGCTCAAATGACAGCAGAGGAGGTTTGTGGGCTTAGAAATACACACAGAGAGAAAGTGAAATGCAGGAACACAGGAAACACGCCGTCTGTGATCCACACTTCAAGCCATCCGGTGACGACGCGGTGTGGCAGCGCCTCCTTGAAGTCAGCTTTGCTGCTGCTGGTATCAGTCTCAGTTGGGATCCAGTGTTTCTTTCTGGTTACATAAGCTGCTCTTAGGCATCATGGCACATTCTGTGCTATCACCAGGCTGCACAGCAGAATAAGCAAAGCACTCAGGCAAACACACACATGGGGCTCTGCAGGTCATGGCTGGTTATACAAAACGACATAAAATGGAAAATCAGTCGATCTACACAACATATCATTATTATGTGGTGTTCATACAGATTTGGATATTCTCACCCATTCTGTATTTGATTCCTTTAATGTGCAGACTGGCCTACGATTGACTATTAACAGACTAAAATAATGTAATTGTTTACTTGTGTGTGTGCACAGCAACAACCAGGCGTGCAGCAGTGCAGTGAGGAAACCTGCCATCTCTCTTGCAGACAGCACGGAGCTCAGGTGAGGTAGAACCACATCGCTCACACCCTACTCCTTATCATAAGGACAATTTGTCATACACAAGAATATGTATTTGTTATTATTATCAGTTTTATGTTTCCTCTCTTGCTGTTTACCTTGGTTTAGTTTGGCTTATGTATAAACAGATGTACAAACGTACCTCCATGAACACATACACATCTTATCCACAAAATGTAATTATCTTCTGTGTTGCTCTGCCTCACATTCATTTTCAATCTTTGCTTCCACTTAATGGGATGGATTTTTCAGTTAAATTGGCTAAACGGTCGTTTACACACACACACACACACACACACACACACACACACACACACACACACACNACACACACACACACACACACACACACACACACACACTTGTATTATCACACTCACACAAAGCTCCCCTGTGCATTCCCCGGATGAACACTTACATATAATTACAGGCTAGAGGAGTAGATTTACAGCTAATTACAGCCGCAAGATTGAAAACCGTTGTAGTTAGTTTGAAAAAGTGTTTAATTCACAAAACGCATCAGGTGAATGTGGATGGATGCTGAATTACTTATCCGGCAGAGCCCAGGAATCATTTCCTCCCATTTTTATAGGCAAAAGCAGACTGCAATTGGTATTGTAAGTCTATTGATGTTGTTTAACTCTCTTGTGTGCATGATTCTTTTTCCATGCAGAGTGTTACTGAGCATCATGTATTTGATGGTGGAGACCATTAGAGTTCAAACAGAGGATGACCGACCTGAGTGGATCGCAGCCAGAGAGGCCTTCAAGAATGAGTTAGGTATGTGTCATTCACTGTTGGAACAACACAATGCTATGTATTGACAGACATATTCATATATCCATACACACTATCCAAACACATGGCTTTGACCCTTGTCTCTTTAGGTTCACCTCTGTACAACGGAGAACCCTTTGCCCTGCTCCTCTTCACAATGGTGACCAAGTTCTGCAGCATGAATGCCCCACACTTCCCCATGAAGAAAGTCCTCCTGCTGCTCTGGAAGACGATACTGGTTAGTACGTCACAACCAATCAAACATCATCCACATAAGGCACAAATAAATAAAAGATAAATTCAGATAAATTAAAATAAAAACATATATTATTTCTCCACTATTTATTTTCTCACTTTATCTTAGATGTGTAAAGACTACTTCAGATATGTGTTGAATTCAAATAGTGCTAACAAGTCAAAGACATTTTAAACTTAAGATCCGGGGGTCACATAGATATTATTTGATTTTAGGCTCCACAAATCTTAATAGTGAAATTGTGTATTATGTTGTATTTCTGCGAATAACCTGCCAAATGCACAAACCACATTTATAGATTTTTTATATATACTGTATATTTCATTACATTTCCCAACGTTGTTTCACTGTTGGTCCATCCTTCTGTCCAGTTCACCTTGGGGGGTTTCGAGGAGCTCCAGCAGATGAAGGTGCGGGGCCGGGAGCGTCTCAACCTGCCTGCACTACCAGAGGACAGCATCAAGGTGGTCAGGGCGATGAGAGCGGCCTCACCACCGGCCTCGGCCATGGAGCTCATCGAACAGCAGCAGCAGCAGAAGAGGGGCCGCCGCAGCCGCAGGGTACAAGACCTCCCTCTTCCTCCACACGCAAAATCTAAATTCATGAATAATTCCCTGGGAAATCTGTGAGAACGTCTAAAGTGTCCTATATCACAATAAAAACTAATTCCAGGATTTGCCCAAATCTAACCAAAATTAAATGGGTTCTTTTATGGCCCATGTTCCATCTTTACACCAAGTTTCGTTGAAATCTGTTCTGTAGTTAATCAAACAAACAAAGGAAAAGGAAAACACAACCTCATTGGTGGAGGTAAAAATATCAGGGCTTGAGTTCCCTCACAATATTTTAAAAAACATTCCAGCTTTTTAACCAGCTGTTAATTTTATCTCAGTAACAAAAGAAAAAAGTGTGTTTGTTACCTTTTAACTCGACAACATAACTGAACTATATTACTAACGTAACATTATAAAAGCTAACCAAGACTCATCTCTCCATAATTTGCCCTTTATATTGTTGGACAGCTCCATCCGCTGCTGGTAAATTTGATTTTTTAATTCCCTCCGTACCTCGTTTCCAAAATCCAACATTGTCAGTTCCCTGTTGTGAGTCAGTGACCACAGATGATCTTGGTGCTGGTGTCAGGAATCTCAGCCCCTTGTATTTGCGTACAGCTTTGACCCGACAGCCTCTTTCTCTCTTTCTAACTGTCTTATGGTTTCTCATTGCCCGTCTTCCTTGTGTCCCCACAGAGTGCCTTTGTTGATAGCTTGGAAGGAGACAGTCCCTTTCCCAAGAAGCAGGTCTTTACCCACAAATTCCCTCGTTTCCTTTTGCATTTTCCTCTCTGCATTGAGCTGGACCTTTTTGCACTCCTCTCCCACGACCCTGCGATCTTCTCTTTCCCTCCTCTATCTGCTCCCTGCCTTTCTTCCTCATTTTTCTGTCCTTCCCTGATCTCCCTCCTCCTGTCATTTAACCTTATCCAAGCTTGTTAGTGTTTGCCCCAGTTCTTCCTTCGCATGTTGATCCAGATCTGATCTGTATCAAGAAAGAAATGGATCTGAAACTCAAAAGTTTAAAGCTCTTGAGTGATTGTGGTGTTACCTTGCTCTCTGCCTCACTACATTTCCTCCACCTGCATATTTTGAACTTTCCCTCCTTTGTCTCCTTTTTCCTTCTGCCCTTCACTTATCTTCCTTTAACGCTTTATATTTTATTTTTATTCCATACCTGTCTCCTCCATTCATCACACTTTTACAAGCTTACTTTACCTAGCTTACGTCCATCACTTCCTCCTCTGCTCTTTCTCCTCCTTGTCCTGCCTGTCCTCCCACTTCCCTCCTTTCTTCCTGTGCTTATCCCTCTGTCTTCACCTCTCCCCCTCTCCTTACCCTATTTCTTCCTCCTCTACTCTCCCACCATTCTCTCCTTCTCTTTCCTTTTTCTTTTACCTCTTCATCCGCTTGCTGCTTTTGCTCCCACCTCCCTCCCACCTTTCTGTGCTTATCCCACTGTTTTCATCCCTTCTCCAACATCCTACCATATTCCCTTCCTCTCCCTACCCCATTTCTTGATCCTCTAGTCTTCCTCTTTCACGTTCTCCTCCCCTGTGCTCCCACTTCCTCCTTTCTGTGCTAATTTCATATCTTCCTCCTTCTCGCACTGTCCTCTCCTCCTCTCCTTCCCCTATTTCTTCCTCCTCTGTTCTCCCAACTTTTCTTATCTCTGTGCCTGATGCCTCCTTCTCCAACATCATACTGTCCCTTGTCCTCCTCTCTCCTCCTCCTCCACTGTGGCCTGCTCAGTACATGGGTATGGAGTTTTAAAAGATAGAGCTGACTTGCTGGCTGTTATCATTGGCGCTGGAGCGTTCACTGTATCCACTGTCCCCATAAAGACGGTCACATCTGCAGTAGTAGCATCTCTCCCGTGTAGTTTTCATCACATTGCTACTGGGTTTGGCCTCAAAAGAAATCACCTTGCACTGTGGACTCTGGACTAGGGGTCAATGTCATGAAAATGCATTCATGGAGGAGGTGAACCGAGATCTTTTCGAGCATTGTCTTACCTCTGCAGGGTTTCTATTTGGGTTTCACTTGACCTCTCTCTGAAATGGATGTCATTGGAAGCGGCTGTCCCCTAACCCCGATGGAAGCAACATTTAGCTTAACCTCTCACTCAGCAGAGAATGGCTTCTCCATAGAGAATGGCTCACAACACTGTTTCTCCTCCTCCTCCTCCTCCTCCTCCTTCCTCCCTCTCCACCATACACTCCTCACTTAGCATTGACATTAGCAGTAGCACTGTCACTGGCACACCATACATCGACTGCACTATCTCAACTAATGTCTAGACTGCTGACTCATATGCCTGATGCTTGCACTATTGCCACACTCATTCATTAGAGACTTTGATACTGTGTGTGTGTGTGTGTGTGTGTGTGTGTGTGTGTGTGTGTGTGTGTGTGTGTGT